TAAACATTAGGATACATAACTGCTTAAAGGAAGCAGTTTGTGAGTTAAGGCTAAGACTGCTTACAAAATTTGGAACTGTGATAGACTGGAGTTCCTACAGCATCTCACAGAATATCAAGCTTGTCTTAAAATGGCCTTCTCAAATAGATATATTTACGTTATGTCTTGTGAGGTAAAGAAATAATATGAGAAAATGGCAGGTCTACTAAAAACCCCAGCTATTTGATATCAAGATACTGATCCAGAATCTGCAATCTGTACCAGGAATACTTTGGGCAGAAGGAATATTTAATGGCCATACAGTTCCCATTGTTGCAGCCAGTCTCTATACTTGAGATGAATTAGTCCTTCTCTGACTTGAACCAAACTGGCAGTGACAGAAACAGCTCAGCAGTTAAGGCAGTATTCTGGAGAATTGTCCTCAGTGAAGAAGTCATTAAAGCTGATAATTTGTTTTAAACCATGGGTGGTATATTTTGCATCAGTTTTGTCATTACTTTCTTAGTATTTAGTCTTTAATGTATGAATAAAAACAGAACAAAATTTATGTAATCCTTTCCTAGTAATACAGTAACCCAACTTCTGTTTTCTGGGTTATTCTAGAGTGATTTAGCTTCGACAAGGGATCTCTGGAGCCATTTGAATGCTCATTTGCTTCACCTGAGCAGGTGAAGTTGTTAAGGGCTCTTTGTATTCTGTTGCAGCTTTCTATTCCAAAGTGTATTTCCTACTTCTTGTTATGGAATTGCATATAGCCAGCTACAGTCCTTATGGGGAAATTCAACATTATTATCTGGCTTGTTTACTCTTGTATCTTCTAGTGAAGACTATCCAGTCATAGCTTCTTTTTCTTTCTAACAAATCTGTTCTTTGTCCTTGCATTTGTTGACTACAGATTCTACTGGTATTCCCAGCGGGTATTTTCCTGGACTTAAAAGGTTAGATACCACAGTTGTCTACAGCCAGCAACTTTCTGCTGTATGTAACAAACGTGCAACAATCCAAGTAAGTTACACTTCATTTTTCTTTATTTTTCTTTAAATTTCACTTTTGTAGTGCCTGAGATTTTCCCCCTTGTTTCTCTCCCCATCCAGTGCAGGCTGTGCTGTGTACTCTCACTTTGAGACCTGCTTAGGTCTTTCAAATTGAAGCAGGTACCTTCTTGGAATAAGCTCGGGCAGCAGGGATGTGTGAACAATGTTATATCCAAGAGAAGGTGGTTGGGCTGGGAATAGAGGAGTGTCAAGAGCCTGGCAGGGCTTGGCCCTTGTGCTTCTGGCATCCATGCGCATCTTCTGGTTTTGTTTTCAGTGTTGTCTGCTCCCTTGCTCGGCTGATGTCCCTCACGTGCTATCCTGGTTTCCAGCCTTCCTCCATACCTGCCAGCTCCTCTGCAATGCTCCCAACAGGTGGTCATCAGCACTGTGTCTTCATCCTGGGTAGAAGCTAGTATGTCTCTGCTTGAGCACCCAAACAGGAATGACTAAATTTGTTTCTTTTCATCCAAGATAATACCACTTGATAGGAGTCCCTGAAAAAAATGAGAACTATTACAAAATCTAAGAAAATAGCAACTTCTTATGCTCTTACAAAAAGTATGCTTTCTTGATGATATTGCCACCTTTTTCATCACTTGGATAGCCAGATATAGGCTTACTTTATTTTTATGTTCTTGTCTAGTATAGTATCTTTGCAAGTGTGTTGTGTCTATCAGTAAAAATTCCCTAGAAAGGAACTATATTGATGTAATATATTCAGATAAATTCACATTCAGCAACATTCCTTACAGTGGAAGAGAAAAATAAGCTGTGTACTTCTTTCCTAAGTCATGCTAATAAATGTGTGTAACAAAAATGTCCCACCTGTTGCTGAGGCTGCACTTGTATTGGTTCTGAGTTTTGGAATAATGCTCTATGAAAGTAAAAGCAGATGGTCTGAGATGTTTGATACGAATGCATGATCTGCTTGTGTGTCTCTTGCATCAATGTTGTTGCCATCTCCCCTTCTACCACTAGCATCTATTCTATTGTGTGGTAGGTGAGACTAAGGAGCTGATGTGGCTAAAAACTTAGTCCATAGGGGCAGGCAGTTGAAGTGGCCAGCTGGATCTTTCTATTGAGAGAAATAGTATTTGATTGATTTAGGACATTTGCTATTGCACTGTTACAAGGTTATAACTTTCTTTGATTAAAATCTGCATAGTTGTAAATCCCCACCCAACAATGAAAATATTTTTAGTTCAGACCTTTATATAGCAACTATGTTTAGCCTTATAAAAAATTCTTATAACAGATGCACACTCTGTTTTAAGCTAAGAAAATAGATTTTTATACTGAAGTTTGTTTCAGAAGGACTTCAAGCAAGTACAGATGTAACTACTTAGCTTCAGGAGGGCCTATTTAAAAGCAAGCAGGGTGGTTTTAGTCTGTGCCTAAGTGGCTAGGGAAGATTTCAGATAAGGAGAATTATTCTTTAATGTCGTAAGTGTATTTGCTCTTCCATTCTTGGAAGAGAAGTACTTGCTATTGCATTAAAAGCAGATGCCAGCCTCAGCTTTGGCTGGACAGAAAGAGGGATGACTCTACAGTTTCCTCCATCTTCAGCTTCCCAGCACAACAGTTCTGTGCATAAGTTTCTCCTTGTGTGGTGTTCGTGAGGACTGTACAGACCTTTCTTTCTCCCCTTCTGATAAGGGGCAGAGAGATCATCTACCCATAGTTATCCTTGAGGTTCTGTTGCCTGTGTGCTGTTGTATAAGCTCTACCTATTGGACTCTTGTGTGGCTCAGGAAACCAGCTGGGATTAAAAAAAATTGTTGCCTAATGATTCATCTGTAATTGCAAGGTAAGACATGAATGACTTGACTTACCTTTCCACTTTTGACTTGTTCTCCCTCTTAAGTTTTCTTCCACAGTTCCTTGAGCAAAAGGTACTGCTTTGCATTCTTAGAATACACATTTGTATCCTGTCTTCAGAAAAAGGCTGCAGTTTTAAACTGTGTAACGTTAATATACAGATCTGGGCAATATAAAATACTATAATAAGCTTGGGGATGCATCCTGTGGTGAGAAAATGCTAATAAATGTATGTTCAGTTTTTGGGTGTGGAGAGGACAATTTGTATTCATGGTGATTGGCACTAGGTGAAGATGCATGAAAGGCATGTGAGCCTGACTCTGACCCTGACCATGACTGGTCTGTGTCATGAATAGAGGATGGTGGGGGAAGGTTTCAGATTGCTGCACAGTTAGTTGAGTAATTAAAATGAAGGGGAGCACTTGAATTAGAACTGAAATAGGATTTTGCAAAATTAAAAACCCTGCAAAAATGATGCACATCACTTATTTTTACTAGATATTCAGCAGTTTTAAAAGGCTTCCATTCCCAAAAATTAATGTGACTTTATTTGGGCTGAGGGAGGGGCTCACGGTTTTAAATACTTGTGACTCTTTCTCTTGAGCAAATGAACAAAAAAGAAGATTCTGGAGGAGGGAGCAGGTGATTTTGCTGTTTTATAAATTCTCTGGCTTCCACTGACTCATCTGCCCGAAGTTAGAGCACAGCTGGGCACAGTGCACCTTTGCACGATGTCCACCTTTTGCACCTGGATTACAAGGTGGCTTTAATGCAGAACAGAAAAATTACGTGGGCTGGGTAGCTGAAGCCATTGGTCTTTGTCTTACCACATACATTTCAAAAGACTCAAAGCAAAAGAGTAGTGAGAGTCTGGGAAGAGAAGCTAGAACTGCTCAGTTCTTCTCTGTGCTTAGTGGTGTCTGGATCTGAAACTTCCAGGTGCAGCTGGGAACTTTTGGTGTATCAGTGTGAAGGCCTGGTCTTGCATTTTGTGTGCTTGTTGGTCTTCCAACATTTGCATATCCTGGTTTGAGATAGCTTTAATGTTATCTGATGGTTTGCATGTATGCTACCTCCAGATAACTTTTTGGTGTATTTGACTGCTCATTTACCTGTCTTATCCTTGCTAATCTTACAGTCAGGCACCTATCACCAATCAATCTTCCCTTTCAGATTATTTGGGAGTAGCATTTTAGAGTCTGCTTTAAGAAGTCAAAACATCAGTTTCATTTTCTGCTTCTGCCCTCAGCTTGAGCTTGTGCCTGTTTATCTTTAAATTAGTAAACTGCTGCTATTTTGTAAGTAGCTGGGTACAGTTCATTAAGGTGTTAGAAATTTGAGTCTTCCATAAGCTATATAGATGGCTAAGATTCTGTACAAGTTTTCTTATGATCTGAAGTTGGTTTGTAATACTAATCTTTTGTCCTTTTTGTAACCAGACATTATGCATTAGCTGCTCTTTCCTGACATGTCTGTGTTAGTTTATGTAAGAATGTATCTGCAAAATATATTATTATTGAAGTAATAAACTGCTCTGTACCTATTTGCAGGGAGCAAAATGCAAATGGAACCTATGGAAAGTCTATTAGTGCCTTAAAAGATTGCATAGGGAATTAAAACATGCAGTTTACTTGCTAACTCAGGCTCTTATGTCTTGCCTAAGCTAAAATAAAATGCTGAAAATCCTTCCTAGAATGTCCCTCTTACCTTTGTTTTTATTGCAATCTAATCCTTGAGTTAATGCTTATTGCCATATCAATTTGCTGCAGTTATTATCTGAAACTTTTAAGTTTGATACTCAACCTCTTCATAATTGTTCTTGGTTTGTTTTTTCTTGTTGCTCTTTTAAGTAAAGGCAACTGGTTGCCAATATGTCTAGTGCTTAAATAGTCTTATTAATACACATAGGGAAAAGCTTATTATGTCAAGGGTATTCTTACAGTTTTCCTTGAAGTTTACTCTCAGAGGAATTTGTTTAGTTCTTCATTGCTACCTGTCTTCATTATTCTCTCAGGTTATTTGAAATTGAGGAAACTCAGTTCTCTGGCTTTTTCTCAGAAGTCCTCTTTTCTAGGCTTTGTGATTGTTCCCGGTGCTTTTCTTTGGAACCTGCTCACATATTTGTTCCCTATGTACTGTACTGCTATGGGGGCTTTCTCAGAGCAGCACAACTTTTTCTGCTGTTGTACAGATACTGGTTCTGCTTATACATCCCTGCATGGTGTTTGCTATATTCAGCTTCTGCTCTGGGAGATCTGCTGGATCCTTCCCTGCAGTTGAGCTGCTGAAGTGATGAGTTCTTCTGAATGAAGTGTGTGACATATTGGGTGGTAGGTGGAAAGAAGTGCATTTTGAACAGTACAAAAAGCCATATTTTTAGGAGACCAAAGGAAAAGGGAGGTTCATTAGGTAGTTCTTTCATAAGTTCACTAATAGTAGGACTTGGATGCCTTGACCTCAGGGTGGCTGTTTTTTCACAAATGTCTTAAAATGGTGATGAGAAGGTCCTATTTTCAGAATATGCAGTGGAGAAGTTCCAGATCTGTGCGCAAAATAGCTACATTCTTTCCTGGGATGAATCTTGGTGATGTAATTGGTTGTTAAACTGGTGCTTTCAAGCATTATAATATACTGAAAAGAGCAAACAAATTCTGGACTTCTGCCACACACGCAACCAGAACGGAATTAGATAATCTGGGAGAAGGTTGTAGGTGCAATTTCACAAGTAATGTCTACTTTGGAGTAATAAATTCTCTGATAAAGTAATCATTCTAGATTAAAAGAATTATTCAGGCCACTGTGTGGGAAACTGCCATGCAGTAGGTCATTGCACAACAGCTGTAGGTTGGTTCTCTCCTGGCTGCTGTTCTTCACTGTCTGCTGTGACCAAATACTGATTTCAGTATGAAAGAATTTGAACTTCCATTTTCTTGGGAACTGAATTTCCTAAACACAATTTAACAGTTTAAGGATTAACCAGGTTTTATATTGAGTTGTGTGGGGTTTATTTTTTTCAGTCTTGTCTTCTGGGCCAGAAAGCCAGCAAGTTCTTAATGAACAATGTCACTTCTTTATTCTTCACCCTTCCTTGGCCTTCTCTAAATGACTGCCCATTGAGCAGCCAAGTTACAGCATAGCTTGTGAGGAAGGAATTGTTCACTGGTTGCTCTTGGGAGTTTAACCAGGTCTGAGCTTTGATCTTCAATGTTCAGCTTTGAGTCTGCTTGTGTCTGTACTTAACCATATTCTTCTTTGGTTTATTTCTGGGAGGAGGTGCCATTTTTGTATAAGGTAGAAAGGAAGTTGGGCTGTGAATCTTGCAAATAGTTTTCTGAAGCATGTGACTACCAGGCTAGCTAAATTGCCTATATTTAGGGCCTGTTACCACACAGTGCAGTGTTGTCCCAAAATGTGATATGAACAACAGGGAGAATTGTTGAGCTTAGAATGTCTGGTGGCTTGCATCAGAAAATACTGCATATATCCACCAAGCTGCTGTTTTCAAAGCAAAAAGCTTTGAAAAGAATGCTGTATTTTTGTGTATATTTTTATTTCTTAACATATTTTTTCCTTTTTTCTTCCTCATCAGTGCAATTTCTCTTATTCCTTTTATTCATACTAGTACTATGGTTAATTGTAGCTTCTATATTACTATAAGAGTGTAGAATTAGTATTCTAAATACAGGTTGCCATTCCCGGATAGTACTGAGTGGAGAGACTTGAGTGTATACAGAGGGATTGGACTTGAAACAATAGAGAAGGGATTGTCTGATGGTCCTTAGGAAGAAGAGAAGAGAGGAGATGCTTATCAGCATTGATGTAGTGAGAAATTGGTAACAAAGAAGCTGGTGGCAGAGTAGAGGAAGTGTGTAGGCAGGGAGAAAGAGGGGAAGTCTGCATTGAAATTGCAGTAATTTCTTTTCACTTTGGGAAAAGCCAGTGGTTAGCAGTCTTACACTCTGTTAATGCAGCCTTACTCCACTAAATCTTATTTCATTACAAACTTGCTGCAACTTTGGTAAGCAGCAAAAATGGCAGCCTTAGACATACTTGAGCTTTGAGTGGAATGTACTTAATTTTGGGTGGCTTCTCTTTCCTTCAATTTTTATTATTTATTTATTTTTATTTCAAACCAAAACAGAGATAAATAGTTTTTTTAAAATGTTTGAGCTTTACCACCAACTAGGCTTATGTTATGTTCTTGAAGAATTGGGAAAAACTGCCAGATAGTTTGGTATACAGAAAAAGATGCCTCATGTCCCTGTTTTAGCTTTTTTAATTTATAAAGAATTAGTGGTGGGAAAAATGTGTAAAAGCTACCCTGTGTAAAGGAAGAGTGAAGGAAGCAACAACAGCAGTGAAATCAAGATTAACATTTAATACTCTCAGAACAAAATAAAAGTCAATAAATTTTATGCTGGTGAAAGTGCATTTTAATCTAGTTTTTGCTTTCTGTCTGAATAGAGCCTAATGAGTTGTCACTTGCCCTTAATAAATTATTTTGCAATAATTTTCTCTCCATGTTTTAGATACAATGTCTGCTCCTAGTGCCCCTTTCCCATCTGCACCACCTTCTTATGAGGAATCAACAGGAATCAATGTGAGCTATCCTCACCCTTATCCTGTCCCAGAATATGGTCAGAAACCAGACTGTAAAGGAATGAACCCTCCTCCATACTTGGGACAGCCCACACCAGTGAATAACCCAGGTAAGCCAAAGAAAATCATGTACCTCATGTTAAAGAGGTGTCAAGTTGGTATGTAGTAGGTGCTGAGTAGAAGATTGAATATTGTGGTTCACAGGTGTTCCCCACCTTCCAAAATGTTTTTTTGAAGGCAACAAAGGTGGATCAGTTCCTGCAAATCCTTCAGTATGCACTAGTATCAATAACATAATTTGGCTTTCTGCTGTTTGTTTTTGTTGGGGTTTTTTTGTAGACTTATTCTGAAGACAGTGTATTTCTGCATTAGGAAATGCCATGGGGATTTCTCTTTGTCATTGTGCGTTTCATTGTTCTGAGCCTCAAATACTTCAGAGTTGTAGCTGGCTCTAGCTCAGAAGAAGGTGATTATCCTCTTTTTTCTTATTTACCCATTGAGTAAACAGCATATTTCTCTGCTCAGTTACAGTTCAGACAGTGTACGTGCAGCACCCAGTAGTGTTTTATGACCGCCCGGTTCAGATGTGCTGCCCCTCCTGTAACCACATGATAGTGACACGTCTCTCCTATGACTCGGGGGCTTTGACTTGGCTGTCATGTGGTGGCCTCTTCCTGCTGGGGTATGTTGATTTCAATTTGCACTTCTTTTTCTTTTTCCTCACATGACCTTTTATAGCTCAAAGGAGTAGCAAAGCTCTCAGCTTTGTTGCTTTTTGCTTCTTCCTAGAGCCTGACTCTTTATGGTTTGAATAGCCTACATCAGCATTTAAGCCCCTTAGGACTTTAAAGCAGCTCTAGAGCACTGGACTCACACCTGTGTGTGTTCTTCCTAAAGCTTCATGGCACCAGTTCTACTGATGGCTTTTGTGGGAAATATATTTTTCCTTCTTGTGTATGTAACAAGTGGTAAAACAATTGTTTGAGGGGTGTTTTTTTATTTTATTGCAGATGTGTAGGTGGCTGCTGCTTAATCCCCTTCTGCATTGATGCCCTGAAGGATGTGGATCACACCTGTCCAAACTGCAATGCTCTTCTTGGTTCTTACAAACGTTTATAGTGTTTAAATATTGATAATTGGTTGATGAAGCTGGTTAGCACCTCTACAAGCCCTTTCTGAAGCTTCATGGAGACCTCTGATTGTTCTGTGTATTCTGTCACGGAAACCAATCAAAAGTAATGTTTATTGCTAGATTGTTTGATTAAGAATTTTCTTGAAGGGATTCTGATGTAGGTCTGTAAAAAGTTTGTGTAACCTTTATGGGCCACTCAGTCCAGCACCAGTTGATAGCAACTGTTTTCTTTCTGCTTTATGCAAAAAAGGTTGGTGATAACTCTTCAGTTAACCTTGTCTCAATCCTTTTGCATGCTGGTGTGCTTGCTTACAGTCTCAGCACAGACCAAGAGGAGGGAGCATCTGTGGAGACATGTATAGTCTCCTGTGGTGTTGATGCTTTTGCAACAGCACTGTTTATAAACTGGCAGGGAGTTTCTTGCCTCAGAGACAGGTACCCCTCTGACAAAAGAAGTGATTTGTTGCCATCTTTTAAAGAGCACTGAAGTTCACTTTAAAAATTAGCTGAAAGAGAACCAAACCTAAAGGCTTCTTCCCTCTTGAAGGCTGCTTTACCAAATAGGCAATTCAGGTAATTGTGTGTCAATGGTGATTCAATCTAGTGAATTTCCTTCCCAGTTTTAAGCCTAGTCATATCTCTACTCTGCAGTTTTTACACAGGAATTTCAAGTAAGTTGGTTTTTTTTCAGCATTTTTTGTTTGGTTAGGGTTTTTTTTAATGCTGTTTTATAAGTCTGTTAAATGTTCTTTCTAACCCAGTGGAAATGCCAATAGAGCCTTGGCTATAGCATTAGAAAACTTGCTTTTACGTTTACATAAGTCAAAGGATAGATCACAAACCTTGGCCTTATCTTAAGGCTTGAATTCCACCTGCAAACAGAGATACAGGATCTGTGCTTTAGGTTGCTGATCTGTTAACTCTTTCTTCATTAAGAAGGTACCGAGTTTGTTAAGGACTTTCTCTGATTATTTAGGATTGTACTCTGATTTTTCTAAATGAAAGAGAAGTTCTGTTTTCAGAAAGTTAAGCTGGGTGTGCTTATTTAAGACAATGATCACAAAAAAAGGGAATGAGGTTTCTGAAGGTTGAAGTATTTTACCATGTCATAAGCAGCAGACTTGATCCAAGTAACATTTTGGATTTGTATGATACCTGTCTAGAAAAAGAAGACAGGTGTTTAAATGAGGCTGTGATTCTAACACTGTATTAATGTCTGTAAAAACAAAAAACTAAAATAAAAAATATACTGCATTTACTGTTCTTGCCAAATGTGTTTTCTGTTTGGTATAAATTAAATTTTCAAGAGTCTTTCAGCACTTCTTGTTTGAAATCCATGAGTTTCATGGATCACAGATAAATCTAGGCCTTATGTTAATTGGATTTTGTAAATTGCTGCTGCTTGTGGGTCAGTCTGCAAGTGGTTTAAAAGCTTCCTTCTACATTTGGAAAAGGTTTCTGGTGAAGTGTTTTCCTGTACCATAAGAACTTCCATCAGGAGCTACTTACTGGCATGAGAAAGGTGAAGATAAAAAGCTGGTACTTTTGTGGCTGTGCTTTGATGTGGTGCTAGCTCGTGTTGTTGGTCTGCTACTGCACCACTGATGCTTTCCATGTTCTTTAAGAGCTTGGGTGATGCTCCTTTGAATTTATTGTTCTGATGTCACAGGCACTGATTCTAACACACAAGTAACACGCAGCACGTAAAGCAGATGTCACCTGTGTCTGTCCCTGTGTCCCTCCACCCTCAGATTTCACAGAAAATATATTTGTTAGTTTATCTTCAGAGTAAGATAGGAAGAAGCAATGGAACATGCAGTTATTCCAAACCTTATGTTAGCTTGCATGATGGGGAGGATTTTTTGTTGTTTTAGTGCCCAGGTCAGTCTGGTCTGGATAATCCTGCCAGATATTAATTTGGTGAGTAAGTCTTGAAATTATTACCTTTTCTCTACAAAGTAGTGGTTGGATAATCTGAAGTAGTACCACCAGAATGCAGAAGAGCACTGACAAATAAAGTAATTGTGGAGTTTTCTTTGTTTTGTTTTATGGGCACGGTGCATTGCATTTCTTTAAGTTCCTCTAGTGGATTGAGAATAGGACACACAATATTGGCAGCTTTTCCATCTAATTAAACATTCTGCAAAACTTTCTGCTACCCCTTCTGTGCTTGAATTTCCTTAAATACAAAACCTGTGTTTGTTCTCTTGTGTATGGAATTATCTACAGAATGCACCAAAGTAGGTAGCTTTGTTAAACTTATTTTAGACAGACAAATGCAGGATGCAACTTGCTTTGTGTGAAAGTGCTGTGTTTGATTACATTGAAGTTACTGTTTGTTTTGAAAACTGGTTATATTTAAAATAAAAAAAAATTGTCCTTCCTATCTAGTACTTGTAATTGGAAAGTTATAACATCTGGAATGTTTCCAAATACTGGAATGGCTGCAATGTTGAACTTAAGTCAATAAATGTAATCACAGGGTTAAATTTTTCAGAGCCTCACTTGGTTCAGGTCTCTGATAAATGGCTTTCTCTGGCCTGCACAAAGAGGCTTTACACACAGAGCCACATTTGAAAATGTGTTGTTTTCCTGCAGTTTCCCTTTTTTTTTTTTTTTCCAGTTAAAGCTCCTCTGGATAAAACTCTGACTTGCAATACAGCTACACATACAGATAATGGCTACACTTCCACATACAAGTGACTGGTAGGGAAAATAGATACGAAATATCATTATGTTCAGTTGGAAAGAGTCCCTCTTAATCATGCAAGAACACTGCTGGTTCAGATGCTTGACACACTTTTGTCTTTCAGAGAGATGTAGAGAACAGAGGAAAGCAAGATTAATACCTCAAACAATGCATTGATTTTTATTTTATTATTAAAATATTTTTTAAAAATCACAAAAATATCAGTGAGTTGTGAACAAATGTTCTCCTTAGTGGATAGATACTGAAGTGGCAGTGCTGACTTTTAGGTGCTCATGCTATTTCCTCAAGTAAGGAGGGGGCTCAGGCCATCTGAAGTCCCCCAGCCTCGTGTGACAAGTTTGGGTGAAGCTATCCTGCTCTCTCACCTTCAATAGCTTTCCAGGATGACAGTGCTTTCTGTTACACTTTGACAATGTTAATTCCATTAAACTATTTTTAATTGACAGAACTTGCACAGTGTTCAAACCTAGTTTATTTCCTTCTGGCTCAAGCCTCAGGAAAATTAAATTTGTTTTGTCATGTAAAGAGGATCCAAAATAAAAGCTGTTAAAACAAGTAAAAAGCAGTTCACAGCCTTACAAGACAGATGTTAAGCAAGAATTCCTATTAGTTGCAGTGTTTGTGGAAGCGCTTCTGGCAGTCTAACCACAAGTTGTTGTTTGGGTTTTTTTTTTAAGAAGTGAGTTGTGATTTTTGTACTAATTAAATATAATCCATAATGGAGCAGCAGAAGGTGAGTATACTCTGTCATCCTAGAAACTATGAAGTACTGTGACAAAGGAGTCAAGTGTTTATAGGTCAAGTGAATTGTATTTTATAGCTAATTAACCCTTGTGTTTCTGTTGTCTTTATAAGATCTTGCAGTGTGATACAATTTCATTATCTTTAGGATGATTTTTAATGCATTTCTGTGGGGTGAATACCCTAGTGTGTGATGTGCTGGACATGAATCCAGTGTAGAAATGCATTTTCTAGTGAGTGTCTTAGTATTTTTTCACACCAACACACTAAAAGGTGCCTGCTGAAACCTGCTGATTTAAAAGGAAATGCTTCTTATTGCCACTTAAAATTGATTTTTTTTGCTCCGGTTTTTTTGTTTGTTTAAGAACCTGAATATCTAGTGTCTGTTTGAACAGGTGGCTGTGTGGTTTGGGGATGCTAAAAGTAGTTGTGCTCACGTCTAGAATAAATGCAAGAAATGAGTAGGAGGCTTTTTGAAAGTGTTTTTGTGGTTTTATGTTTGCCTTCGTGCAACTTCTTGGTACTTGTAACAAAAATCAAACCCAAAAAAGCAGCTTTAGTGGGGCCCAGAGGATTACTGCAGTGAGGGGGCTGTGTGACTGTGCACAGGGTGTGTTCGCATGTGACCAGGGCCATTTCACAGCCGCACTGGGCTGGGGGGAACTAACTCACAGTAGTTTCTCTCTGAAGCCCTTGCTCGGTGTTGGAGGGCGGGTGACAAAGCCTGTCCCGCTTCCTGGAGGTTCGCTGGGGTTCCTAGGAACCAACCGCACTGAAATTCCCCTGGGCTCGTGTTCCGCAAGGTTTTTCACCCACCAGCGGGGCAGAACGTTTCGTCCGGGGCTGTTCGCTCCGCCCGTGCGGGGCGAGG